AGAACGGTCTCTACAACTGTAGCCTCTTCGAGGAAACTCGCAAGATGGTCAAATACAGCTTTACTACTAAAGATAAATCGAAAAATTGCTGAGAGCTGATTAACCTCGTCTTCATCTTGAGCGAAATTTTCACCATCAGCGGTGCCCTGTCTTATGTTTCCGTAAAATACATTATAATTCTCCGCGGCACGGTTAACCAGATCCAATTAACGTTGTAAATTTCTTTTGACGATAAGGTTCCTGACTCGATTTCTTCGGACTTTGCTGGCACTTATGCATGTGGAGCTCTTTTCACGTCCTTCACTTTTTATTCGTCTAATTCTTAAGGTTTGCATGATCTATCGAGGTCTATTCGTTAACTGTTTTAATGAAACCGACAGTGGTTTGTGATGAACGAATGCGGTACTTCTACGGACCGTTTGGCCAGTCGTCGAGCGCGTCTGCATCAAATACGGAATTCTACTGAATGCGCGTAACTGAACTTCCATTGGGTCGAAAGCCCAGCGTCAAATTTACTTTCTAACTTTTGTGGATCTCACGAGCATAGAGAATGATGGGCGTTCCATGGAAGACGGAAACGTTCGCTTTCATCTAGAGGTTGTAGCCCCGGCACCTCGGTAATTCCGTTCCGTGATTTCATAATTGGGCGATCAAGGGTGTGGACCTATTAGGCTTCGCATACTCAAGTTGGAAACGTGACGTTTAAAGCGAAAGATAACTTTAGTGTCGTCTTCAAAAAACGCCCATCGAGGGTATGTTCTGAGCTATTTACATCGGGCGTATTCTAGTCAATTGGGGACGCGTCCATGATCAACATATCCAAACGCGTAGGGAGCGTTTCGAGCTCCTCCATCAGGCGAGCGTCGGCCATGTTCTCCCTTCTCGGCGGTCGATAAATTGTCAGGACATCGAGGTCAGGTGAACCTTGTACTCCGATAGACAGCCAGATTGCTTCAGAAGTACAAGAAAATTTATAGGTTTTGTCTGACACATTTATGACATTTTCACATACTTGAGTACTTTTCTTCCCTGACGCACTTCTCCATCCCTTCTTAACAGCTGGCAGTAAGGCAGTGGGAACTCACGGTCCTCCACGCCTTGGGTCAATCAGGGTTCTGTTAAAAGCATTACGTCAGGAGGTGGATCATAGAGGTGAATCTTCAGTCTGTTGAACTTTGATGGCAAACCCTGCACGTTTGTATAAAAGACTTTCAAATTCCGCCTGAGGGAGGATGTGGATACATTTTGGTTAGAGCCTTCACTCAATACGTCAGCCGCGCAGTCATTCGGACCAGGCCTGTCCAAAGGAAAAATGACGGACGCCGCTTTACATGGTTATTGTATATAACTTAATTGCCCTCCCCTTCATTGAGCCTCTTTCATAGTCCGATAACCAGTTGATGACGTTTCAGCCATTTCGCGGATGAGCAGTCTGATTGAAAAAACCTGGGTCGGAGACTATTATCAAAAATGCTTGGAAAAAATTAAACTGTCATGGTCGCTGCTGGTCAGCACAAATTTAAGAGGTCAGGAACCTGTTGTTTCCGATTGGAATTTTGCTCTTTTTTAAAGTGAAATACTTTAAACACTTATGTTGCCTCAGTAGGTTTTAAAATATTACTGGGGAGGCATTGGAGAGTGAAGGGTCTTCCAAAACCCGCTACTTGCAGGTATTTGCACTTGACTAATAGAATCCCTGTATAATGAAATATATTTTTCTGTCGATTTTTTTATTTCCTGCTACTGTGTCGTTACTTAACGCTATATGTTTGTTAAACTGCAGTTTTGACAAGCTTAGAAAAAGTAATTAGCACAGCAGTATGTGACTAATTATCTGTGACTTTGATGGGTGATTCGATGCCACCACACGTAATTGTTCTATCATGGTCGGATTTTTCCGATAATCATATAAGGTGTTTGGACACACGACACTGAGCATGATGGATTGGACGTTCGTTGATGTCTCTGTTTTGACTGCATCGCAGGCAACTTCCGGATATGGTCGTTCGTATTCCCTGGGTTTTTACAGTCTGATTTCTCCCTTTTGGATTGTTTGGTGACCTTTCTGGCCGTTTTTATCCCGCTTTGCAACTAATCGTTTTGGGCTTGCAGTGATCTAAACTGCATCGTAATTGAAATTTAATCTTCATGATGTTTTTCACAAGATGGTTGACCATGACGACCAGGATATAGCATCCACTAAAGTTTTGGCCTGCATCTTTTGATCCTATACAGCCAAAGAGACTTTATGATAGTCAACTCTTCCGGGCTGCGGTTGCCGTGGAATGGCGTGGTTACGTCGACCCCGAACTCTGACCCCTCATTTCGGACTACTGTGCAAATTCTAATCCTGCCGTTAATTTATGGCCAAAAGCAAGCCGCAGTAATAGAAGTAAAAAATTTGCCTAGGACCAAATATATGGAGATTTGTCTGTATAGTTGGCTTTGTCGAGATGTTTCGAGAATGCGAAGCAAAGAGGACGCTTTGGATAAGACCTTTTCTGTGAAATGACAAGTGTTCATATTTAAGCTGCGTAACAAGCAGTGTATGCGTGTTCCAAATTTACAACGGGGAGGTCAAGACAGTATGTAGGATGGCTGGGTTGTGCTGACTGGACCCAGATTTCCAAAAGGATGGCCATTTTTACAGAAGATTGTCCTAAAAGTACGATGAGGTCAACGACCTCTTTCATGTGAGTTATAGGCACATAGTGGTGACTTGAAAACTTTCCGCGACCATGACTGCTGCCTTGTAACTGGAGACTTCTTCGAGTAGTCGACTGCGACTTACCCGACAATTTATCCAATCAAACTACATGTGAGTGGAGCGAAGCTATACACACGACAATTCTCGAACACCCGGAGCTCGATGGCAGGACTGAACCAGGACGATCGGAAGCTGGCGAAGCTAAGCAATCCGTCAACGCGTGCCACATAACCTCGCACGATGGAACAGTTTTTTTGCAAGAACAGGGAGACGGACCGGATCCCAGCTGAATGGGAGTGTGGTAGAGGCCATGTTGAGAAGGAGCCGTTGGGTCCGTCTCAGTTCTTAAGCCATTCACCCACGCTTTTCAGGGGGGAAGGCAAATTACCTAGTCAGTTGACAACCTTCCAATCTATGACCCTTAACACGTCTTGATGGGCCCCAAGCGCTTTCCTCGCAGAAGGCCATTTTCCTCCAATAGATGCCACCTTTGATGGTTTAGTATTTAGGATAGCATTACACGTTTTGGGTTGATGGCAGCGGCCAATAATGCAGTTAGAAGTTAAATTCATAGCTTCAAACATGTCCATGAAGCAATTCAGAAGACTATTTCGCGAGCATACGAGTTTTTTCAATAAATTATCGTCGGGCCAGTACATTTATGTGGGAGCGAGGTGTAAAGTAAAACGTGTGAGCGATATGAGAAATCGATAATCGTTTGAATTTGTGGAATTTAATCAGAAAGAAATTAGTCTTTTGCAGATCTCGTGGGACTTGAATAACAGCAGACCTTGATGGATTTTGAGCAATTGGTTTTCTAGGTTGTTTAGCCGTGATTCGGGTGCGCAGTCAGATGCGTAGTCAGTTTACCGTGCTGATAAAAAAATTGCACTTAATCCAGGTTCCTGGCGAATTTCAATGCGTAAATTTTTTTTTAAAATGCACAAAGCAATTCTGTACGTATGGTTTCAGTATCAATGTCAGAGACGGTAACTGTCGAATGGTATCCAAGTCGAAATAGTCCTACGTGGAGCGCAAAATAATTCCGTTGTGCTCAGTCGGGCCGACGTGACAAGTATCAAAATCTAAACTGCGTAACCAGCAGTGTAGGTCGTTTTCGAAATTTATGAAGGGCAGTTAGAGATAATAAATATGATTACTAGGTTGTTCTGACTAGAACGGATTCCCATCAGGATGGCGGGTTTTGCAGAAAACTGTCCCAGTCGTACGATAAGGTCAACGACCTCTTTTATTTGAGTTACAGGCAACTGCGTGTTGACCGTAAACAAACTTTTCGCATTCCCCGCTACCCAAATTGATGACCTGCAGCTGAGGACATATTCGAGTAGGCGACTGCGACTAACTTGACAAGCTATCCACTCAAAGTACGTGTGGGTTGTGCAAGGCTGCACACATGACATTTTTTTTCTCGAACATAATGGTTACTTCTCTAAGAGCATTGCACGAGGATGCTGTTATGTCTGCATTCGCAGAAAGTTTTGAAAGAAAGCTGGGTCAACATTTCAGTGCGTTTCATTGAGCTATCTGACTGCTGTCGTTTTCATGTCCTACGTTGACAATTTAATACTGATACGATGCTTCTGCAAATCTTTCAGTCATACAACATTTCTAGCCATCAGTAAGCACTTCGAGAACAACGTATCATATTACTATCTCTGTGGTACAGGTGGGCTTCAAATAACTAATGTAGTACCTAGTAAGACGAGTGCATATGTCTTCAAATATTCCTATCCAATAAAAACTTATTGGTACAGCTTTTGATTATTAAGTCGCCTTTTCTTCATGTCACTCCCTTTCTCACTTTTCCCCATACTCCTCATTTGCGTGGTAAACATAGGGATTTCACAGCTACACAGTTGCTTTCCCTCAAATAAGCTGAAAGTGAATATCCATTACAGGTTTTTTTCCTTTCACAGAATATTTATCATCGATAAGGACAGTTTGTGACCGCAAAAGAAGGCTACGTTGAATTGTGTGCGCCAATATTCAACGTGGAAAAAGCGTGTGCAGAATTCATGGGTTAATGTTTTTATGAATAGTTTGGGACTGAGTATACTAATTCCCTAGTCGACGCATGAGGGCAGCATTTGTCCTCTTTCCAGGGAATAGTTTCTGAAGGACGATTTCGTGGTAAGGGGGTGTTAGGACCTCGTCGAGAATGTTCATTTGTCGGTCTGGAGTATGAGTTTTCTTGTTTGACATATTTCATGTGCTTCGGCAATATGATAAAAGATTTTATTTTTCTTAGAACTTAATGCAAAAAGTGAAAGACATGCCTTTTGAGGAGATTTTCGAGGCTCGCCACAGTACGAAAATAGATTTACCAGTAACGGCAACATAATCGCCAAATACTTACATATAACAACGTCAAGACAGTAATCAGGAAATCGTAGATTAGTCACCATGCTGAGACCACATGTACTAAATGCCAGCCTAGGCATGCGTGATTTGCAGATCCTCACTCGCCGTTTAGCTTTGAGATTTTTTTAATAAACAGTGGGTGCCTCGGTGTTCCTGTAAGCTCTTAAAGCTTATATGCTACTGCCTGCTTATTGGCTCCGTGCAACTATAAAAGTTTTTGCAGCTGCTGACTGATTTTAGCTAATGTTTATATCCGGAGTGTGCATAAATTGCTTTACCTCGAAGATTTTGTCTCGAACTAGGGTTATGATTCTTCTGGAAATTAAAGCACTAGAAAATAAAATTGAAGTTTTTTCCACTAGGAATTGAAGTAAGTTAAGAGGTAGAAGGCCGCATATGACCCGAACTGACAGCCCTTGACTCCGACAGTGACAGAATATATAGTACTTGTTCAGGCAGTATGATTAAACGTCCAGTGTTCGTATATCGCAATGTTCTTCCGCGTCCGTAGCCATATAATTTGTATGATATATCACACTCTAAAGTTTAGGCGAAACAAACCCTGTCTGTTCTTTTAAACTATGCCCTTATCGGCAGCCTCTATGGGCGACAGTGCGTTTATATACGCGTTTTTGCTTTGGATAACAATAGTTTCTAAAATTTGCACAAGCCAGTAGTGTAACTAGAATAGACCTAGTCTAAGCAGATAATTGGTAAGGATTGCAAACAAACGTACAAAAAGAAAAATGTGAATGTTTGCAACAAAATTCCTTAAACATAATTCAGCTTAATAATTATAAAAATACTGCATTATGAAACGTGGCATTCGACCAGGCATTTTACTTCTAATAAAACCCTTCAAACTGCATTGAGACCTTTGTCTTCAAATGGCTTGCGGTTCCATGCCTTGATAATTCATGCCGCGGCATGATTTTGTTTCAGTGGTATAAGTTATGAATCTGAATCCTATGTACCCACAGGATAAAAAATTTTCAGACAAAACAATCAGTCTTACATAATTAATCCCAAGTGCTAATGTGGTCCTTGTTCTCTATTTAGTTTATTTAGCTTATTTTCACAAAATTTAAACTAAATGACCTTTGAGTGTTACAAGCCAAATCTTCTAATAGAACTTAGTATAAACAGCTAATTTTAGATTTTCATAACGAAGGAAATGCGAATTCAACTTTACAAGTCAATGACTAAAGGCACTTTCCTAACACAAAGAAAATACGTATGTCTTGTGAACGTGCCGGACAGTCGACACTCACGTACATTATCCGGTACGATACTTAGTGCTACTTCCCGTGATAAAGTAAGTGAACGAACATGATCGCTCAGTTGACAAGGATTTCTGTGAATTATGACTTCATTGTTGACCGTTGGTTTCGCATGTCTAATTGTCTAGTCATTCGTATGACCAAGTTACATTGTTTGCGCTAAAGTGCCGTAGACAATGAGTCTACAATATATGCGGTCATTATTAAACATATTATTATAAGTTACGTCAGGAGAAACTCCATTCATTTTCGGACTTTACTGGGCGTACGCATTACCCCAAATTTAAAAAGCTGTTCAAAAATAAGCACAACATTTGTCTCATAAGATCGTCCCATCTCTGAAAAAGACATTTTTCCTTAATAACGCTGCAAGGCAGATAGGGAATTAAAACACCGGCGCCTTCCTCAATTTGCATTGCTGATAAAACTACGTTCCCGTTAATCCTTTTTAATGTTAAAATCACTAAGAACTTGTCGTAGCATAGCTTCCCAATTAGTATTCTGGGTTCTTAAAAATTAGAAAATAAGTTATTTTCTCAATATAACAAAGCTGAATATATACGAAACATAATTATACATATTTTTTTCTATTTCAGATGTGGTCTCCGCCATTATTGGCTAATATCTCTTGCTTTACTACATTTAAAGTAAATAAAGTTTTTCGGATCTTTACACAAAAATATTCTTTGCGCATCGTTGATAAAACTGTATTGTTGCCAGCAATTTTAAATGCCAAAAGCCATAAGGCTTCATTAGAAGAACTCTAAGTAGGGCTGACGGCTATAAAATCTCGAAGTTTACTAATTTATAATGAAGAGGGTAATACACTTACAACCACATAAATGTACTTCTTGCCCTCAAAATATGCGGCCCTTTTTAGATCACAATCTTGTTACTAAAGTCTAGTTTAAAACACAAAGATTTTGGACCGTTGCCCGAAAATGCGAGTTACGTAAAGAAGTATTCGAATGGTGCACGATGTTGAAAATAATGCGCTGTTATTTCGGACCTTTGTCGGGTATTCAGTTTAATGCTTTTTCGTTAGGTGTTCGGATACGGTGTTGCGCATGTCCCTTCCTTATTGTTGTCTCATATATGACATAATCCAGAAAGGACTAATTACAGGTATGCTTAAGGAAAACGCAATGCTAGTTGATCGTAGCCGTTTGCTTACAGAGCTCTAAAGTCATTATTTACCTGCCATTTCAAACGACTACTGTCCCTGTGAAAAGCGTAAACATACACAGCTGGCCTGATAATGCTTTCACGACTCGCTTCGAGTTTGCTTTGTTAAAGCTTGATAATTAGGCTGATACGTGTTTGCAAAACAAGTGTTCAAACCTGATTAATATTTCGAAAGAACCAATAATGCCACTTGATAACTTTCTTGCAAAGTCAAATCTTGTGACCAACCGTGTGTATGTGCTAATATAAAGTGCCCGCTCATCTAACAATTCACCCGCCCTAATTTCAAGTGCATCTGCGCAAATCATTTCCTGTTGAAGTGGTTTTTAAGCAAAATAAGTTTATAATTTACAAGTCAGAACTTCCTCCCTCCTAGTGACCTTAAATGGCCTTGGTTACTGACTGTCTTTTGCAGCCGATTAAATAAAAGTCACTTCACAACGAACGCACCCTAGTTTACACAATAATACACTTAATCACCAATAACGATACGTTTTCGAGTACGGAATCTGCAAATTTTGAACTATTTTGTTAACCTTATTCAATTTAAGCAGAAGTCAAATGGTGTTTTAGAAAAAACAAATTATTCAGACGTTCCTGGTGCAGACGTGTACGCTAGCTCTCGCAATGAATTTAAGTGACATCCCACGGTTTCATAATTACGGCCTTTATTTTAGCAGGTGAACGAAATCCCAACAGGTTTGCTGCTGAAATATTAAATTAGCATAATATATTTAAGAATATATCTTGCGTAATGTGTGGTTATATGAAGCGATTTTCTGCATGTAAAGTAGATGGACTAACTTATGTAATGTTAACCGAAATTTCGAAGTGCGTCATCGTGTCGAAAAACATAGGTAGGGTTGTAAAATAAATTATCATGCAGCATAATTCTATAATAAATTAAATATTGCGGAATGCTAAGTTACAGGGTTTTATTTATTGATTTTTGACGCCATTATATAATTAACCCTACGACATGGACAACATGTAATAAAAATAAGCTCTTTAAGATATTAAATATAATATAAAGTTTCTGTCCATTTTTTAATCCTAAAGTTGGGCATTATACGCTTTTTAAAACTTTTTAAATTTCCGACAAATTTTAAAATAAAACTGCGTAACACATGCAATAAGGGATAAAAAAGGGATGTACATTTTCCGCGCATGGAAAACCATATATTTCTCTAAAATGTCAATGTCGGCAATGCCATTCTGCCTATATATTATGCGCCGCTGTGCGGCTGCTCGTTGGGCTGGAGAAAAAAGAGGCCTTAACGCACAAAGGAACGAGTGAGATCCGTATGAACGATCGGTGATCGGCCCCACCATTGGATACGGTCTGGCGCATGTCCCTCCTTTTTTGTTTTCTCATTTATGACATAAACCATAAAGAACTGATTACAGGTATGCTTCAGGAAAACTTGATGCTAGTTGATCATATCCGATCGCTCTCAAAGCTCAAATGGCAGTATTTGCCTGTCATTTCAAACGACTACTGTCCCTGTGAAAAGCATAAACGTAATAAGCTGGCCTGGTAATGCTTTCACGGGTAACATCGAATTTGGTTTGTTAAACATTGATACGCTTTGGCGTTTTCAAACAAGTGGTCAAACCGGATTGATATTTTTAAAGAACCATGAATGCCAAGCAATAGCTTTCTTGCATAGCCACTTCGTTTGAACAATCGGGTGTATGTGGTAATATAAAATGCCCGCTAACCTACCAATTCACCCGCCCTTATTTTAAATGAACCTGCACACAGCATTATTTGTTGAGGTGATGTTTTAGAAAAATACAGTAGATATGCTAACTCATGAAATGTCAACTAAAATTTCGAAATGTGTTCTCGTTTCGAAAAGATAAATTAAGTAGTGTTGCAAAACTAATCATGATGCAGCATTAGTCTATAATGATGCAGTTACCTCAGGGTGTCCGCTTTCGAAACAACTTATTTTCGGCTGCATGTATGATCAATACTCTGCAAAACATGACTACTTAAGTAGCAAGCAATTTCCTAATTGATTTTCGATGCCCTTGAAAATTCAAATATATTTCATGGAAAGCATGCATAAAAATGTTCATTCTTTTACTTATTCGGTAGAAAATAACGTCTTTGTCCAATTTCCTACACAAAAGAAGAGTATAATACGGTTTTTAAAAAGTTTTTTATTGGGAGATTTTATAATACCGTTAAATGGCTGTTCATGAAACGTCATGTATCTGCATTTACGAAAGTGGCTTGTAAAGTTAACAATATTGCATGCATTTCTCTACGATATTAAGAGGAGAATATTTGAGGTTCATAAAATTAAGCAGTGGATTTGAGCAATATTGTTAACTTAACAAGCCACATTCGTAAATGCAGATACATGACGTTTCATGAACGGCCATTTAACGGTATAACAAATCTCCCAATTAGAAACTTTTTTAAAAGCAAGTTGTACTCTTCGTTATAGTAAGATGATTTTCTACAGAATAAGTAAAGAATGAATATTTTTAGACGTGTTTTCCATGAAGTATAATTGCATTTTCAAGGGCATCGAAAATCAATGAGAAAATTGCATGCAAATTAAGAAGTCATGTTTTGCAGAGTATTGATCTTGCATGCAGCCGAAAATAAGTTCTTTCGAAAGCCGACAACCTGAGGCAACTGCATCATTATAGATTTATGCTGCATCATGATCAGTTTTACAACACTACTTAATTTACCTTTTCGAAACGAGAACACATTTCGAAATTTTGGTTGACATTTCATGAGTTAGCACATCTACTGTAAGTTTATAATTTACAAGTCCGAACTTCCTCTTTCATAGCGACCTTAAATATCCTTGGTTACTGACTGTATTTTGCAGCCAATCAAATAAGTTATTTCACAATGAAGGCACCATACTTTACACAATAATACACTTCATCACTAATTACGTTACGTTTTCGAGTACGGGATCTGAAAATGTTGAACTATTTCGCAAACATTGTTCACTTTACGCTGTAGTCAAATAGTGTTTTAGCAAAGCCTTAAGCTTTTAAGACGTTGCTGATGCTGACGTTTACGTTAGCGCCCACAGTGAAATTAAGTGACATCCCACCGCTTCATAATTATGAAATTTATTTTAGCATATAAACAAATTCGCAACAAGTCTCCAAATGTACTTTCAAGTGAAGTTTGCTGTTGAAAATCAAATTAGCAAAATTTATTAAACAATACATTTTGCGTACTGTATGGTTGTCTAAAACAAGTTTCTACATGTACGGCAAATGAGCTTACTTATGAAATGCTCACCAAAAATCCGAAATGCGTTTGCGGCCCAAAAATATTGCTGAGGTAAGGCTGTAATATTAATATCATGGAGCATAATTCTATAATAATGAAGTTATCGCGGGATGCTGACTTTCGACCTAAAACCGTTTCGTCTGCAATCAAACACCACGCTCTGTCAATAATAACTACCAACGTGACACCTATTTTTTTCATTGATTTTCGACATCCTTACATATTCAGTCCAATTTCACGGCAAAATGCGTAAAAAATCGCTTTATACTTATTAAATATAAAGCCAGTTCTTCTATCCATTTTGCACTTGAGAAAAGGGTATAAGTGCTTTATAAACACTCCTCCAATTCTCGAAAAAGTTTGAACCCCACCTGCGTTACACCTGCATTTAAAGTTAACTTTACAATCCGAATCGGTAAATACAGAGAAATTATGTTTTATGAACGGCCATCTCACGGTATTAAAAAATCTAACAATAACAAACTTTTGAAAATCAAATGATATCCTTCCATGCAGTATAAACTCGGAAGAAGTCATGATTGTCTACAGTAGAAATAATAGAATGAACATGCTTTTGCATGCCTTCCATGAAACGACGAACGAATAGATGCCATTTAATTAGCCATTTTTTACAAAGTGTGGTTTTTGCATGCAGCCGAAACAAATTCTGATCGAAATTAAGCATTCCTTGGTAGCGAAATTTTAACAGAAGTATGCGGCATGAGGATAAATGTTTAATTGCCACGTAATTAATCTTTTCGGAGCGAAAACTCATTTTGAAATTTCACTTGACTTTTTATGAATAGCTTATCTACTGTATATAATTCCCCGATGAATTTGTTCCTGTTCAGACGCTACTCATTAAGAGCCGTGCTCGGAATCTGAGAGGGTAGTCCCGTGTAATTTGATGTGGTTATTTCAGCCACAGAAGACATTAAACTGACTGATAATTCTTTTCGGATCTCCCTGACGGAAGAAAAGCAGGCAAACTACGGACATTTTTTGATATTCAAGCAAATTCCTGTGGCGGCTTTTGTGAAAAATCATCTTCAACGCATCGTGTTATAAAAGGACACTTTATGTAAGAATTATGTGACATATTCAGACCAAAATAGAAAGGGCATTCAAGAGACCAAATAAGGTCGTTAGTGGTGGACATGATGCGTTTAATAAACTTGGCAATTTGTTTGCAAATGTTTCCTAACACAGCGCTAAAATCTTTCCATAACTATCAGTTTAAAATATTACTCTGACTATGAAAAAACGCAAACGTAGTTTGTCGTCACGTTAGTGCAATCACAATCAGTCCCTCCGGACTTGGTAAACGCACTCAACTATCCATGTATTTCTTCTGTTAACTGTTTGGAGAATTAATTTTTAAACATGTTTTGCTTTTCTTACGAACCATAAATTCCAGTTAGGTGACTTCCATTTAACCATACTTCATGGAAAGAACTGTGTATATGTGATAACAGAGGAACGTCTATCTTATTTTTATTCGTGGAATATCTATTGCTGATGGTGATTTCAATGCCTACCAACCACCCATTCATCTGAACTCTCATCCGCTATAATTTAGATGCGCTTATGCAAACCTGTGTTTTTTCCGAAAAAAAGCGACAGTTTTTCAGTTCGTACTTAATTTCTTAAAGGGCCCCTCAGGTGACCCTTGATTTTGAACTTCCTTTTTGTGTGACTGAAACACAGGATGCATCAAAAAGAAAGTACTCTAGTTTGTACAATGATGGACTATGTAAGTTATTCAGTCATGGATGTCACAACGGCACATGGCAGCCCTATTCAGGGATGGCATGGCAACCCCCCACGAGGGGAATGGCCTAGAAAAGGTGGCCTAAACATTGCTGGGTACCACGGCATCTCCAGGCTAGCCAGGGCCGCAGACGTCTAAACATGGTCGAAACAATCAAAATCGAAACAAAAACAATACCAATAACAACAAAAACCATACTCATTCTTCCTCTTCCTCTGCTTATTCTTCGACCTATTCTTCTCCTTCGTCACCTTCTTCTCCATCTCATTTCCGTCGCCCCACTCGTTGTTACCAGACTGGCAGGGTGAGCCGGCTCATTCTGGCAGACTGGACTGTTTGTTCCCTTTAAGACAATCCGAGGAGCAACCGACCGGAACGAAGGTCGGCGCTCAAGGCACGAGAACTGGCGCGCTACACGGTGGACATCGCCGCACTCAGCGTGACCCGATTATCCGAACAAGGCCAACTGGAGGAGGTGGGTGCCGGCTACACCTTCTTCTGGAGCGGTCGACCCAGGGCAGAGCGACGGGACGCGGGTGTCACCTTCGCCATTCGGAACGACATCGTGGGACGACTGCCCTGTTTGCCGCAGGGCATCACCGATCGCCTGATGAGACTCCGCCTGCCTCTCTGGGGAGGCAATTTCGCCACCATCATCACCGTCTTAGCTCCGACGATGACCAACCCCGACGCCGTCAGAGACAAATTCTAGGAGGACCTGCACGCCCTCTTGGCGACGGTGTCGAAGGCAAACAAGTTGATTGTCCTTGGTGACTTCAACGACCGCGTCGGCACGGACCATACTGCCTGGAGAGGAGTGCTGGGTCCCCACGTTCTACGCGGCTCAAACGACAATGGTCTGCTGCTTCTTCGCATCTGCACAGAACACCGCCTCATCCTGACGAACACCTTCTTCTGTCTGCCTGAGCGAGAGAAGGCCACCTGGAGGCATCCTCGGTCGCGCCAGTGGCACCTGCTGGACTATGTCCTCGTCCGGAGGCGAGATCAGCGGGACGTGCTGGTGACGAAGGCGATCGCGGGTGCTGACGGGTGGACCGGCCATCGCCTCGTCATCTCGAAGATGCGTATTCGCCTACAGCCTCGCAGGAGACCACAAGGTAAGAGACCCCCAGGTAAGCTGAATGTTGCCTTGTTGTCTTTGCCTGCTCACCATCTTTATTTCAGCAATGAGCTAGATGAAAGGCTAGACAACCTTCCTATCGCTGCCGCCGACGACGGCGCTGCTGCCAAGAACGCCTCCGTGGAGAACCGCTGGTGTCAACTGCTAAACACGGTCCAGTCGACGGCGCTCGCCGTCCTCGGTCGCGCTCAACGCCAACACCAGGACTGGTTCGACGACAACGATGCCGCCATCAGAGAAGAACCGCCTACACAAAGCCTACGTAGATCACCCCATTGATGCCACCAAAGCTGCCTTCTACCGCAGTCGCCGCCAACTTGAGCAACGACTGCGCGAGATGCAAGACGCCTGGACTGCTCGCAAAGCTGAAGAGATCCAAGGGTACGCGGTGGGCCGAGCATTTTCGAGGCGTCCTCAACCGCCCCTCCGTCATCTCCGACGCCAGCATCGAGCTTTTGCCGCAAGTGGAGACCAACGTGGACCTCTACCTCCCGCCATCTCTCCAGGAGACCATCACGGCCGTGCAGCAGCTCTCCAGCGGGAAAGCACCAGGATCTGACGCAATCCCTGCTGAGGTCTACAAGCACGGAGGTCCCCAACTGATGGATCACCTGACTGCGCTCATCCAAGAGATGTGGCGTCAAGGTGAAGTCCCGCAAGATTTCAAAGACGCAACCATCGTGCATCTCTACAAGCGCAAAGGGAATCGCCAAGTCTGCGACAATCACCACGGCATCTCCTTGCTGAACATCGCCGGGAAGATCTTCGCCCGCATCCTTCTCAACCGCCTCATTAACCATCTGGAACAGGGCCTTCTGCCGGAAAGCCAATGCGGCTTCCGTCGTCATCGTGGGACCACGGATATGATCTTCACCGCCCGTCAACTTCAGGAGTAGTGTCAGGAGGTGCTGACCCACCTGTACTCTACCTTCGTGGACCTGACGAAAGCCTTCGACACGGTGAATCGTGAAGGAATGTGGAAGATCATGCAGAAATTCGGCTGTCCGGAGCGATTCATGCAGCTGGTGCGTCAGCTGCACGACGGTATGATGGCGCGAGTTACGGACAACAGAGCTGTCTCAGAGGCATTCACAGTGACCAATGGAGTGAAGAAGGGCTGCGTACTGGCGCCTACCCTCTTCAGTCTAGTGTTCTCTGCCATGCTGATGGACGCCTACCGCGACGAACGCCCCGGGATCCGTATCGCCTACAGGACGGACGGTCGCCTGCTGAATCAACGGCGTATGCACTTCCAATCGCGGGTATCCACAACCACCGTTCACGAACTCCTCTTCGCCGACGACTGCGCCCTAAACACTACCTCGGAAGAGGAGATGCAACGGAGCATGAACCTGTTCTCCGCCGCCTGCGAGAACTTCGGTCTGGTCATTAACACGCAGAAGACGGTGGTGATGCACCAACCGCCACCTAACTCAGCCACAGCCCCCAACGCGCCGCCGCAAATCAGTGTGAACGGAACTTAACTGCAGGTGATGGAGAACTTCCCGTACCTGGGCAGTTCTCTCTCCCGCAACACCAAGATCGACGACGAAATCGCCAACAGTATCTCGAAAGCCAGTCAAGCCTTCGGTCGCCTCCAAAGTACAGTTTGCAATTGCCACTGTCTTCAGCTGAGCAGCAAGCTGACGATGTACAAGGCCGTCATCCTGACGACACTTATGTATGGAGCGGAGACTTGGACGGTGTACGCAAAGCAGGCACGTCAACTGAACCACTTCCACCTCAGTTGTCTGCGTCGCATCCTGAGGCTAAAGTGGCTGGATCGAATCCCAGACACTGATGTGCTGGAACGGACGGGAATCCTCAGCATCTACTCCATACTGAGGCAAATTCAGCTGCGCTGGAGCGGCCACCTGGTGCGCATGGACGACGAGCGACTACCCAAACGACTCTTCTACGGAGACGTCGCGACGGGTTCTCGCCGTCAAGGAGGCCAAATTCGCCGTTGCAAGGATACCCTGAAGTCCTCGCTGAAACGCCTGCAAATCAACCCGACCAACTAAGAGGATCTCCCACTCGATCGACCGACTTGGAGGAGGACAGTGAAGACAGGCGCTGCGATCTACGAAGCCAACCGCATCGCTGCCGCCAAAGCTAAACGTAAAGCCCGTAAATCACAACTTTGCCCAGTAAGCAACGACGCCGCGCAACCGCTTCCAACGTGTCCTCGATGTCAACGGACATTCCGGGCTAGAATCGGACTTGTTGGACATCTTTGGACTAACTGCGCCTCTCGAACGGCACCAACCATCGTCGCCCCGCCTGCCTCTTCCTCCTCCTCTCCACCGCCAACTAACCCTGACAATTCTTCTGACCCACCACCTTTTCCTTCTCCTCCTCGTCCTCCTCCTCGTCCTCCTCCTCGTCCTCTTCCTCGTCCTCTTCCTCCTTTTCCTCCTCCTCCTCCTCCTCCTCCTTCTCTTCCTCTTCCTCCTCCTCCTCCTCCTCCTCGCCCACTGCTCCAACGGCGGCCGCTCAGGCGACTGTCCCGCGCACAACAACCGACACTACCACCACCTCCCCCGACTCTAGGGATGAGGATCAGGACTACACCTGCCCTCACTGCGACCGTACCTTCACCTCACATATCGGCCTGGTCGGTCACTTGCGAATCCATCGCACAGAGACTGGCGAACCAGTGCGTTAAGCACCAACCTGCACCCATCGCACTCGCCTCCATTGCGCACACTGCCCTCGCACCTTCAGCATCGCATGGGCCTTTTCGGCCACGTGCGCATCCACGAGAGCGGCCTTGACCGCAATCCAGACACACCCACCACATCCAACACATCCACCGTGCACACCCCACCCTCGTTCCATCCGTCCGCGCCACCACCACCACCGCCTCCTCTGTAGCCGAGTTCTCATGCCCACACTGTCCACGCACATTCACCTCACGCATCGGCCTGGTCGGTCACTTGTGAATCCATCGCACAGAGACTGGCAAACTGGAGCACCCACCTATACCCACCAAACTCGTCTCAACTGCCCACACTGCCCTCTTACTGTCAGGCATCGCATGGGCCTATTCGGCCACATGCGCATCCATGACGACCTGCGGTAGACAACGCCGGCCACACCACACATTCACTCACTCCCTACCTCCTCCACCACCACCATCACCCCACCAGAAATCAACACTCACACACCTCATGCACCCAACTGCCACCTCCCACGCAAATGGGAAGTCCGCATCTCGACTCGGTCCAAAATGCGGCTTCGGCTGCACGGATGACTTGAGTCCGAGAATATCCCGACACGTCAAGCGTCGTGGATAGGCAGGTTGCTGATTGACGTCCGCTCTCGGTTCACGGAGTTCGTCGCGCTGTGTGTGTTGCGTGGAGTGGCGGACTGGTGGGCTGGGGACGGGCTGAAACAGCACCTTCCACTGCACTCTCACGCAAGTGAGTCACACGCCGTTCAATCCCCGTTGTGTGAAATCCTGGTATTGTGCGTATGGGGGGCCAGGTCGTGCCGTGGCGCGCGCAGACCTGGTAAGTCGACCGTGGCAGCCACCGCGCCCATTCCTCACTCCAGTCTGCTGAGGGGCTCAGACAGCGGCTGGGGTGTGGGAGTGGGAAAGGAGAGTGAGGTAGACGACTCAGCACACTTTCTCCTCATTATAATCAATCTGACGCGCTTGAAGCTATCACGGTGCGCTAAAAGCCGTGGCTTGGAAGCTTGCCAACTGACGGGGTACCTTGGACCTCCTCCTTCACTGGAGGCGGTCTGAGAGTCAGGCTGCAATGGCTCCTTTTTAATGTGGCCTTTATGGCACTCCTACGACAGTGTGGGATCCGAGCCAGGCGTTGGCGGCACGCCCAGGTGCGGCTTCGGCCGTGCCAGCCTCCATATGTCTCTTGTGTTGGTTGAAATCTTGGCTATTTGTTGTGTGGACCAGGGGGTGTGGTGGAACGCCAAGGTGAGGATCCGTCCGAGCCATCCACCTGCGGCCTCTCTCGTCTCCGGTCTTCTTGACTCTGTCTTGACACCGGGCTCGGGCGAGGGAGGAGAAGAGAGTGAAGGTAGATGTTACGCAAGTCTACCGGCACTATAAACCCCTGCGTAAGTCACCGTCCCTGCTCCCATTGCTGCTGCAACTGTGGGGCACACGGTGGACATCATCGAAAACGATGGTCGAACTGTCATACGTCAGTGCTCGTCAAAAGTTTATCTATATTCCGTGGCAATTATCTAAGCAGGTAAACGAAACCCCTATAAACATCTGCATACACTGTTCGGTTATTTTTCTGGCAAACGCTTAAATAGGCCTGATTTATTTCTGCATTTACATTGCGCAGTGATAAAGTATCTGATGCCAGTTTCTGCGTGCATCGACTTACCTGTGGAATTTGCGCTTATTGCGATGCAAAGAAGGAGGTCAGTACACGCCAGTGTGCAGGACCAGTGGTCTGAGATCGCCCTGCAGCCGTCGTTTACGAAATTCAAGACAAGAGACCCCGATATCGAAGACAAGGGTCGCGCCGAATGCAGGTTGTTGAATAAGTCCTCTACGGTAGCATCCAAAATCGAGCGCTCAGCTGCAATTAATTTATTGAAAAAATTAAGTTACACGCTCTAGGGGTGAAATTCTCAGGTTTTCTGGTTGGCTACAATAAGGGACACACGCATTTAGTTTGAGGGAAAAGGAATTCTTACATAATGATTATAAGAAGATTTTACACTAGAAATATAATAAAACCACAAGGTTGCCATAAAACTTATTCGAGTACATTTGTACTATTTTAACTTGGGTTTTTGCGGCATTGCCACAAAACGCAATGGCAACGGCAAACATTTCCGCAAATTCAAACTTATTCTTTCTAATTTTTTAGAATCCTAGAGATGTTTACCCTTACTTTCTCTTATTTAGCCAGCACTTGGTTGAGTTTCTGTCGTCAGCTCTTTCGCCAATTGACATTTCACGTTGTTTGACTGTAAATCAATTCATGTGCTAAAGGCCAAATTAAATTGTTGCTCGCCATAATTTCCAAAATCAGCAAATTTGCCTTTTTTGAATACTTGCGGTGAATTTCTTCTCAAAACAGTTAATCTTCATTTGTAGTGGCCTTGCAGGCTTGACATAATGAGTACATACACAGGTATTTCTCAAACGTATTGCGGTTTCTGTGCGACTAGAATATCGTACTAAGCTTAAAATCCCGAGAGCAGGTTAGGTATACACATATACGTATTCAATCGATTGTAAACACTTACCAATTGAGCCATTTCCAGCCGCAACTCATTGTAAAGAGAAGAGTCGTTGAAATTAGATAGTAAATTTCAAGCATGAAATCAAGATATATTTCCATGTTTAGGTTGATCTTTGGGGAATAGAATTCCCACATTCTCAGTTGGCATTTATAATGCACTATTCACCTCGCGCTTCGAGTACTACAGACAGGTAATTCCAAACCAACAAGATGATTACTGCGACTTGATTGGTGCATTATGGTTCCCAGTGTGTTGTTTTATCGTCAAAGTGCAAAAACTAGCGCATGTATCCGGACATCTGACAGAGAGAGAAACACAGTTGTCAATCTATTTTGACAAGATCAACCTGTGGTATTTGAAATTTTTCCATTTAATATCCTAGATTAATTTGCTATTTTTAGGAATACAGACAGGATTTTAGATGCTAAATTCTGAGGGCCTATTGGATAGATAATTTAAGACAAAAAGCAGACAGCAATTAGGGGAAGTTGTAAGATCTCCGATAGAAAATGGATCAATGCCAAATGCACAATAATAAAAATGTCAGGCCTTACGTAAGTGTAGGCATGTCTCGGATGTGTTCACTTCAGAAAAACCAAAGGGAATATCACCAAAACAACGAGGGCAAATTTAGCCGTATTTTAAACAAATAACATAAACTACGAACAACATGGCAAGACGAACACAGATGATATGCTGGTACGAATGGTATAATAAGAACTTTGTCGAATACGCAGATAGGTGGACTTGGACGTAGTAGTCAATATGTCACCCTTAGTGCTCAGGAAAGAGCAGTCTCGTTTTATTTGTTGAGCCATACAGGGACAATATGGGTGTATCTACTGCTTAAATTATCAAGTCCTCCAAAATCCATTTTCAGGCAAAACCGACACTGTCCAGCTGTGAATGCGCATATTAGTGCGGTGTGATTTCCTCTTTGCTGATTGAATACAAGGGTGCTCAAACTGCGACCACTAACTCATCCTGGACTGACCGTTTGCATGTCCTTATGCTGTGCAACAGGAACTAATTTCACACAATATAAACAGTATGGATAAGCAGCTTGGAAATGTAACTTGCTACTAGGTTGGATCTGCTTCGGACAACCAAAGTATGAAATTTCTATGTGATTGCATATCTGAAATATTTGCGTTGCAGGCTGTAGCATGCCATTGTGTATTTTTATGCATAAGAAATAAGACCGTCAGGTGAGCCTGGACGATAATATTCCTTTCTCCGCTTTTCCATCTTGCTACCAAAATCACAGGACCTGAATGTTCATAGAGTATCTCAAAGCTACAGGGCAGTCATAGTGGCATTCCGTTGCCTTGAAATTTACTCTACCTGTCTAATGTAAAGTCAGTAGTAATTTTAACCGTTTCTGTGCGAACGTCCCGGTGACAGCAACTTATATTCTTTTTAAACACGGGCACCACGCTTGGATTCCCTAATCCAGTTGCCAACAAGTCGACTATCCGTATACCTTTTCTAATGACCTTTTTGCTTAAAGAACACTGGTAGCCGTTTTGGCCGCCCTAACGCATTGAGAGAAGGGCTTTAGAGTCGACAAAATGTTGAACTCAATATATTTTTTTCGGTCACATTTGAAAGACATCTTCCGCAAAGCAGATAATGGTGATCCTCTCCATTAGCTCTTCTATTTGGTTTGAGTTGAAATGTGACAGACTTCTTAATGTTCAACTTTAGTAGCCGTTTATCGGACGTGGAGGACTATATACTTCTTACAGGGCCCTTTCACCATTTGTACCGTTATTCGCTCGCCATATGT